TTTTTGTTATTTAATATTTATTTTTTTTAGAAATAATATTCGGACCGTTTTCGGTGTGAATATTATTGGCGCTTTGATACTGTGGATTCCCGCTAGAAATATTCGGACCGATACCGGTCCAAATATGTTCAGTAGTATACTTTGGACCACCTAAATATGTTTGGACCGATATTGGTTTGGATATTTATTTATTTGGACCGACACTATTCGGTCCGTATATGTTCAGTCCGTATACGTCATTTTTCTAGTAGTGTATCCACTATATCAACCACCTAAAGAAGGGGGGAGAGTAAAACAAAGATAAAAGCAACAATGTAAGCTTCGAATCCTCTTTTAACCTAGAGGGGATCAAATATTAGATAGAACAAAATGCCAAAAATGAAAAATAACAGATAAATTACAAAACCACCAACAGTAAAAGAGAAGTTATGTAACCATCCACTATATAGAAATTTATGGAGACAACCAAATGATAAAATAAAGGATCATGATTGGTGCACACCTGGATCCCACACTCGGGTGTGCACCCCCACATAAAAAAAAAAGTTGAACCAGATGATGGGCTTTTTTTTCTTGTTTATATGGGGGGTGCACACCCGGGTGTGGGATTCGGGTGTGCACCCATCATTTTCCTAAAATAAAATATAGGGTTATTGTACAACTTATTGTGGTGTTTGTGGCCGCCATTGATTATGCTATTCAGTGTGGGTTTCTTCACATCACTAAAAGGAAAAAAAGAAAGAAAGAAAGAAAGAAAAACCCTCTAAATAGTATATTTTGAGGGGTTCACTACAATGTCTCTTTGCGGGGATCGGCCATTGCCACCACTAATTATATAGAATCAGTGGTAGACAGCCCCCACTAATCGTTTGATTTAGTGGCAGATCATACTGCTTACACAAGGACAAAGCAATATTAATGTTTGAGTGCATACATATTAGTCTGATGAGATCAACCTTAATTTCTATAACTTTTTGATTAATGCCTTTTAGCCTATAAATATGTTTTTTCGATTGCAATGCAAAGTAGAGTTTTGTGAAATGGAAATTTGAGTTAGCACTGTGAGTGTGAGTGTGTTTGAAGGTTGTTCTCTCATTTATTTTTATATGTTAGTTCTTGCCAACCTAAATAGTGTTGTTTATCGACAAGTGTTGCAAGCTTAAGTAGTGATATTGGCTAAAACATACCCATAGCTGGCCAGCCATGAGCCAAAACCTCTCCATATTTCTGAAAAAACACTTCCAAGTCACAAAATCCTGTCGACTTTCTAGCATCAATTCTATTTGTTAGTAAAGCAAAACTCACCTAAATCAGCCCGATTTACCAAAGCAAGTAACCTGGTAATATCTTCAAAAGCAAAAAATTGAATTCATCTTCAATCAGACCGGGGACCTCCCTAAAAATCCGCCACTAAAGCCATATTTGTTTTTTTTTTTTTTTTT